GGAGAGGATGGTGAGGGGGAACGGAGGAATGAAGGAGGGAGGGGAGGGGGAAGGGAAGAAGGAGTAGGAGGAGGAGGAGGAAAGGAAGGAGGATGTCTGTCCCCTGTCCGATCCACCAGCGCAATACTCTGGCCTGGCCCTGCCACCCAGAACTCGCTGGCGTGGAACCACGCCAACGCCGCGACGTCACCCACTGCATTCCCCTTTCTTTCTTTGTTCCGCCGTTTTTGCCCCGCTCCCTTGGAGGCTGGCAGGGCGGGAACCGCGGGGTGGCGGGGTCTTTCTCTCTCACCTCTCTCAACCCAAAGAAACCCTCCCGCTTTGGCCCAGCCCCTCGCCGTGCTTCGCAAAAACGCTCTTGTGATACATTCTTAAATTGAACAAACTTATAAGTACATACATTATATACATATACATATATGTATATATAACAAAAAGCCATAAAACAATTCAACAACTGCCCCGCCCTTGCTTCCCCTCTCGCCCGCTGGCCAGGAGAGTCCCCATCTCCTCCGCTCCCGCCGGGCCCGGCCGCCGCCCGTTCCCGCTACTCTTCGCCGTCCCGCTCGCGCCGCGCGCTCCTCGCTCCGCTCGCGCCCGCCGCGAACCCCCCCACCCGCGACCGCCACGCCGCTGCCGCCGCCGGACCCCGCGGGCGCGCGCGCGCGAGATCCCACTCTCGCCACGCAGGCCCCCCATGGAGGCCTGGAAATAGGCGCCAGCACCAGCACGGGGGTGTGCCTCCACAGGGGGAAGATGGTCCTCGATTGCGGCGCTGGTGGTGCTCTTTCGGCCACGTGAGAAGCCAGAGTATTACCACCACCGCCGAGATCGGGACCTTCTTCCCTCGGTGGGGGCACACCGCCGATATTGGTGCTGGTGTCAGCCTCTAGGCCTGCGACCCCCTTGCCACCCAGACGCCCACGCGTCAGGACAGAAAACATCACGGCGGGAGGTCTGGCTGCATGTTCGGCCTCCCCAGGGGCCCTTACCGGGCCTCGGGACCGTCAGAGAACGATCCGGGATGAAAACCCAGTCCCGGGGAATGGGTCCGCACCTCTGGGGATTGACGCTATGATTCTGTCGGGCACGTCCTCCTACAGGCGGATCGTGGGCAAAAAAGGAAAGAAATCATCATCATCATCATCATCATCATCATCATCATCATCATCATCATCATCATCATCATCATCATCATCATCATCATCATCAGCATCAGCATCAGCATCAGCATCATCATCATCATCATCATCATCA